GAATGAGTCAGTAAAGACACATAATTACCATGTCATGATGAGTAACAGGAATGAGTCAGTAAAGACACATAATTACCATGTAATGATGAGTAACAGGAATGAGTCAGTAAAGACACATAATTACCATGTAATGATGAGTAACAGGAATGAGTCGGTAAAGACACATAATTACCATGTTATGATGAGTAATAGGAATGGCTCAGTAAAAACAAAAATCATGAGACAGTGATAATAATAAACCACAAAATGTCAAAAGTTGTATTGAGATAAGTGTAAAAGTGTTGTTATAATGTTAATGTTTCATTATTTTGTTTGATATTTATAACAAATCATCCAAGTGAAGTATTTCTGTGAAAAAGGAACATTCCTGTGACGGACTTTTACATTTTGAAAAATTACCTGTTGTGTGGTCACCCTTCAGTGATCCCATACGACCTCTTATTCTTTTCCACAGAGCCAGTCCTGGATCCATTTGATTTGACATATGACAGTAGTCCAGTTCGAAATCACACTTGGTTGGAGGAACATCAGGTACAGGAGGCCGAATCATTCCTGATTGTAGGCAAGACAACACCAAACAAGTATCACAATATAGTAAGCGTGTTGTCTGACCACACAAACACACGCATTTAGCAACTACTTTTGTTTAGTTATTTACTTTCTCTTCAGGCTTAAGTAAACATAATATTGGATCAATAAAAACATTTCTTTTTGAAACTGTGCATTTTTAAAGGATTTATTTTCAATTCATCTTTAATGAAACACAGGTTTAATGAAAAGGTATTAATTAATGTAATATTGAAGCCTAAACGTTCATTAGTGACATATTTTACTTATTAGCTTATTGATAGTACCATCACATTCGTAGAGTTTCTTTATTCTTCTGATGTCACTGTCAGACAGTTGAACTTTAGATGAGACTGGTAAAATGGTAACATTTTCCTGTATTGCCTTCATAGTCTGAGAGGCACCATCCTTGGAAAAAGTGTACAACCCATACATCATGATAGAGTCATAGTCAAAGGTTTCGCCAAGTAGGTTGTTATCCCATATATCAAACTTTTGGAAGTTAGACTTTTGATCTGAAAGTTCATATAGATGACATCATGATAAAAAAACAAACAAGTATATATATTATTACATCATAATAAATGATATTAAATATCTTAAGTGAAAAACTGATAAATGAAAATTGATTCTGGGATCAGGACTTTAACCCAGAATCCCTGGTTATAAGGCCAGTGGTCTTCCACTGAACTGTCCAAGAGTCGTACAATTAAAACACTATTAATGTGAATGTTACCTGTCATCCAGTTCACACTCTACTATTATATAAATATACCGAGAGAGATTTAAGAAATAATGAAAAGGAACATTGGAAAATTAGCAAACTGACAAACCTTCAATAATATTCTCCCACAGAATTTGAATGTATTCATCTCTGTCAGAGCGACTATGCTCGTGCCAAAACCCAATAACATGTATTAGTTCATGTATGATTACTCCTACAGCAAAACATGTGCTATCCAGAGAAACTTGTTGAGAACCTCCTTGACGACCTACAAAAGACCAACACCTACAGGAACAATACACATTAATAATTAGCCCTGGAAGTTTAATAGAAATACGTGTTATTCAACATCCTGTCATTCTTCTTTAATTTCTGTTAACTTACAAAACTTCTTGATACTCGTATATACAAAATGTAATTGCTCGATATGTGTACAAGCAAAAACTAAGTCTAATACAAAACAAATTAGCTGCTTAATCCATAATGTTGTGCTACGAGTGTGTGGTCACTCTAACAGTCTGTACTTTCATAGAAAAAAAAAACAAGCTCATGTTATTTAATAACAAATTACCAAAAATATTTTGGACTTATCGTCATATTACCTATGAAAAACCTTAAACTCGGTATATATTATTTTTGAGATAAAAACAAATACTAATAATAATAATTTTGAAGCTGATCAAGTCAAGACATTTTATTTTATTTTTGAGAGATGAAATTTTAACCTCCTGGAGTTTAATCAACATTTCATTCAAAGACTATTTGTAATGGCAAGTTAGTGAAAATTGCATGAGATTTTCAGAAGTAACATATATAAAATGTATTTGGTGGAGGAGGGCAAAGTTTACCCCTTAATAAAGTTTTGGCCCTGGGATGACACTAAGAATAAAATTCAGAAAATATTTCTGTAGGAAAGCTAATGATTCTAATCTGAAAAAGTTCTAAAAATAACTGATTTTTTCTTTTTTTTCTGCCTATGAAAAAAATATCACACGTAACCTACCCTTTCACATATATCTGAACAATATTTGGATTAATTAATCTATAAACAGTTAAACAGATAATTTATTTCAATCAGATGGCATGAGCAAGACAATAACGTACCCATTTTGGAGGAAAATCGCTTTGTTTTCTGTCAGACGAATAATAATATTCATGTGACACATGAGAAGGGAAGGATTGTCAGTTGTGTAACGTTATGAGCACCCCTGTGTCATAGAATATGTTAATCAAGGTTTGGCACCCAATCCTGGGTGTCAGAAGTACCTTATTTCGGAATATTATTTAATACTGGAATTACCAAAAACCTCTCCGAAGAAATTGGAGACTTTTACATCAATTGCCTTTACTGGGGTAGGAAGGGTTATGTTATGGCACGTGCAGGATATCTACATCAGGCTCCATGCATGGCTGGGGCTCATGCAGGATATCTACTTCAGACTCCATGCATGGCTGGGTCTCATGCAGGATATATACATCAGGCTCCATGCACAGTTGGGGGCTCATACAGGATATCTACCTCAGGCTCCATACACAGCTGGGGGCTTATGCAGGATATCTACATCAGGCTCCATGCACAGCTAGGGGCTCATGCAGGATATCTAGATCAGACTCCATGCATGGCTGTGGCTCATGCAGGATATCTACCTCAGGCTCCATGCATGGCTGGGGCTCATGCAGGATATCTCCCTCAGCCTCCATGCATGGCTGGGGCTCTCACAGGATATATACATCAGGCTCCATGCACAGCTGGGGCTCATGCAGGATATCTACATCAGACTCCATGCATGGCTGGGGCTCTCACAGGATATCTACATCAGACTCCATGCATGGCTGGGGCTCTCACAGGATATCTACATCAGGCTCCATCCATGGCTGGGGCTCATGCAGGATATCTACATCAGACTCCATGCATGGCTGCGGCTCATGCAGGATATCTACCTCAGGCTCCATGCACAGCTGGGGGCTCATGCAGGATATCTACATCAGACTCCATGCACAGCTAGGGGCTCATGCAGGATATCTACATCAGACTCCATGCATGGCTGCGGCTCATGCAGGATATCTACATCAGGCTCCATGCACAGCTGGGGCTCATGCAGGATATCTACATCAGGCTCCATGCATGGCTGTGGCTCATGCAGGATATCTACCTCAGGCTCCATGCATGGCTGCGGCTCACGCAGGATATATACATCAGGCTCCATGCACAGCTGGGGCTCATGCAGGATATCTACATCAGGCTCCATGCATGGCTGGGGCTCACGCAGGATAGCTACATCAGGCTCCACCCATGGCTGGGGCTCATGCAGGATAGCTACCTCAGGCTCCATGCATGGCTGGGGCTCATGCAGGATAGCTACCTCAGCCTCCATGCATGGCTGGGGCTCTCATGCAGGATATCTAGATCAGACTCCATGCATGGCTGGAGCTCACACAGGATATCTACATCATACTCCATGCATGGCTGGGGCTCACACAGGATATCTACATCAGGCTCCATGCATGGCTGCGGCTCATGCAGGATATCTACATCATACTCCATGCATGGCTGGGGCTCACACAGGATATCTACATCAGGCTCCATGCATGGCTGGGGCTCATGCAGGATATCTACATCAGCATGACATCTATCTAAGGTATAGGTACCACACTTATACTTATCTTTAATACTGATTTTTGTTTTACTGTCTGAAAACTTATGCCTAGTCTTTTTCTTTGCGTCTGACTCAGATTTTTGCTCTGTAATACATTTTCCAGTGAGCTTCTAGTTAACCAGCGGTTCCTACCCAATTACTCTTAAGGAAAGTAAAGAAACTGAAAATACCACAACCTTTAGTATTTAAACCTAATTAATGACAATATGTAAGTTAAGAGATATACATTATTCTAAAAAAAACTTTAACATAAGAAATCACAGTTTTTAAAATAACAGTAATTTAGTGTATTCTGAAATAGACAGTTTAAATTAGTAAGCTTACTTTTCCTGAAGAGAATTATTAACAATTAATAGCCTTGGCTTTTCTCATAATCTTATGACCTCTCATATTAATTGTTTGTTTTTTGGATATTCGTCCAAAGCTACTCAAGGGCCATATGCATTAGTTTTCCATTATTTTAAACTGATAGCCAGTCAACAACACCCAACTCTTCGACATCTTTGTCTGAACAAATAGTGGGATTTCACAGAGTGATGCACAATTTGTTTTTGTTTTCTGTAACGGGATATCAAAGGTGGACCTGCAGGTCAGTAGTCTGATATGTTAACCACTGGGCCACATTAGGCCTCATCTTTGTAGGTAATGTTTAATTAACAGTTTTGCTTATTTTAGAATTACCTTAGATTAAAATATTGACGTAATCTTATGCATTAACAATTTCATTGAAACTCAAACTCTGTGTTGAAAATCTCACCCTGTTTTCTTGGTAAGGAAGGCATAATCTCTTGTTTCTGGATCACGCTGTTTAAATTTTATGCATTTGATTTGATTCTGTATGGTTTCCATGGCTCTCATTATATCATCCCTTATGCTGTCTGAAAACATAAACATAATGTTTAAGGATAACAAAGGACCTCTTGGCCCATCTGGGCCATCCCATCCACTATACTTAACTCTAAACAAAAATAAAACACTCAGAGCCAGCCCTTAACATTCAAATATTTAAAAAGCCTTTCCTTATACTAATTATCTATCACATCTGAAAGCAACCCATTCCTAAGGTCTATCAACCTATTAGTAAAATAAAGTTATCTTACCCGACATAACATAATTTGTGTCCCCTTGTCCTACCATTAAGTATGATGTAGCACACAATCAATTCCCTTTACAACCTTAAAGAATTCAATCAGATCCCCCTAGATCTTCTTTTTTTAAACAAAAAAAAGACAATTTCAGATATCTTAATATCTCCTCATCTGACAATCCCTCCATGCAAGGCACCATTCTAGTAACCCTACTCTGAATCCTTTCCAATAATTCAATGTCCTTCCTAAGGTAAGGGAGCCTCAGAATGAACACAACAGTCCAAATGTGGCATAACCAGTATTATAACCTCTTTAGACTTTCTATTCAATATTTCTGTAGATACAACCTAAAATCCTATTTGCCCTACCACTAGTAACAGCACACTGCTTGGATGGCTTTAGAGACTGATCAACCACTACACCAAGATCTTTTAACTTCTTAACACTGTTAAGGTTATTCCCATCCAAATTATACTTATAACTCAAATTATGATAACCGACATGCATTATCATGCATATATTATAATTAAAACCCATTAACCATTCATTTTCCAAACTCACTAAATGGTCTAAATCATTCTGTGAAGCAGCAACATCCTCTTAACATCTAGCAACACCCAAGACCTTAATATCATCTGCAGATTTAAATAATTTATTGACCATTCCTTCATCTATGTCATTAGTTAAGCCAATTAACTAAACAATTTAGTTCCTTTGGTCATTATCACAGTAACCGTTGTTAATATAGACATAATAAAAACACAACTGTCCACCATCACTAACTGTCACTTGATGTTGTTAATATTAACATATTAAAGATAATATAAAACAGTCCACAATCACTGTTACTGTCACTTGATGTTGTTAATATCAACATATTAAAGAAGATAATATAAAACTGTCCACCATCACTGTACTGTCACTTGATGTTGTTAATATCAACATATTAAAGAAGATAATATAAAACTGTCCACC